CAACACAGTCATCAATATCTTTATCTACCAACCTGCTTTATCTTTACTAGTACATGTCGCCTATTCGTTCCTTTATGTCTGTTCGCAAGTATGAGCTATTTCACGCGAGCGAAACAAGTCCTGAGATGGCATGGACCCGAAAGAGCTCAGTGAACTTTGGTAATGAATGCGAGGAAACCGTCTTCCTTTTATTCCCTACGTGGCAACTGCTCTCGTAGGGTTTCCATGTGTCTCTTTTCTCTCTTCGCGAGGGAGAATTCCATTTCATAAATGTGTAATATAGATTTATTTTTTCTGTGTTATGCGAAGCTCAAGCTCTCTCTGTCTGTCTCTCTCTTTCTTTCTTCTCTCTCTCTCACTCTCTCTCTCTCTCTCTCTCTCTCTCTCTCTCTCTCTCTCTCTCTCTCTCTCTCTCTCTCTCTCTCTCGCTCTTTCTCTCTATCTCTCTCTTTATCATTTTCTCTCTATCTCTCTCTTCATCATTCTCTCTCTCTCTCTCTCTCTCTCTCTCTCTCTCTCTCTCTCTCTCTCTCTCTCTTCTCTCTCTCTCTCTCTCGCTCTCTCTCTCTCTCTCTTCTCTCTCTCTCTCTCTCTCTATTATCTATCTCGCCCCTCATCCTCTAGTTATTTGTGTGTTCATTTATTTACTAATCTATATGCTTGTCTGCTCGTCTATCTTTCTATCTATCAATTAATAATGATTCAAGTATCGATATAGATATAGCGAAATATTGTCGATGCGAAATCATATAAATATATTCAGGCATACATATGTATGTATGCATCAAGACGTACACACACACACACACACACACACACACACACACACACAACACACACACACACACACACACACACACACACACACACACACACACACAAACACACACACACACAAACACACACACACACAAACACAACACACACACACACACAAGCACACACACACACACAAACACACACACACACACACACACACGGGTAAACATACATACATACCTACAAACAATAATCATAAGCAACCACAAATGTGCCTCATAGAGCAAATGCAACACTGGACGCAAAACGCACCAATTTGCATAAATCAATTTACTCGATCACTTTCGCCCAGATAGACCCTAGCCCCCAGGTTACTTAGAATATCTAATTCATGATTTACAGTTTCTCTTCGACTTTCAGTAAAACAATAAAAAAAGTCCGATGTGGCGTTTCCATTTTGCAGTGAGTAATGCCATGAGTATGTTGCTGTGTTATAATCTTTGTTTGTTTGTTTCACTTGTTTTCGTTAGTGAATGGATTTTTTGTTTTGTTGTGGCAGTTGCATAGACAACAAAATCGGTGTCTTTTTTTCTCATATGTTGGGAAAGATTGCATTGTCTGCAGCCAGGTGATTCGCTGTAAAGTGTGAGTCACGCACATACACACATAGATCCATACACAGACAGAAAAAAACACATCCATGCACACACACACACACACACGCGCATAGACACGCAACACACACACACACACACACGCACATATCCACACACGCAAACACTTACACAAACATAAATACACGTGTGTATATGCACTTTTACACACACACACATACATACAGAAGTACACACAGAGGCACGCACACGCACGAAAACCTCCTTCTCCAGTAATGGAAACATCTGCAGTGTGAAAGCAACATGGCATTATTTCCGGACAACAGGTTTCCTTGACCCGCTGCCTAGTTTCCTCCCCTCCCTCCCTTTCCCTCCCTTTTCCCTTGCCTCCTCCTCCTCCTCCCCCCGTCCCTTCGCCTCACCCCCCCCCCCACCTGTGTCTCTCTTTTCGGCCATTCTCTTATTATTTTCTCTCTCTCATTTTTTATGGGTATTGAAATATTCCATCGAATCTTTCTATTTTAAATACTTTTCTACGTTATTTTTTCGTTTTTCTTCGTTATCTTTTTTCTCTTCCTCCTTTTTCTTTCTTCATCGTTCATCTTGTGTCTACCTTCACTCTTTCTTTCTCCTCCTCCTCATTATCTTTCCCTCAATAACTTTCTCCACCTTCACTTGTTTCTTACTTCGAACACTTCTATTCTTTTTCATTCTCTTTCTTTCTCAGTCTTTCTCTCCTTCTTTTTCTGATTCGAAACCTTCCTCTCCGTCTCTCCTATTCCCCCTTCTCTTCATACCTCTGCCTCATTATCCTCATTCTCCTCTATCTGTATTTTCCTCTTCGATATTTTCCCTTCATGACCTGACATTCTTCAAGTGACCTAAGATCACGTTGCTCTCTTCTCCATATTTGGCGTCTTAAGATGAGAAAGAATTTAGATAAGAAAGAATTATGATTATTCGGATAAAAGCGGCACGGGGGGGGGGGTGAGGGGATAGGGGAGAGGGAGAGAGATAAAAAAAATATATGAATACAATGTCTCTCGTTCCCTCCTTTGTTTTGTCTCTCTGTCTCTTTCTCTCTCCGTCTTCTTTTTATTCTTGCTCTGTTCCCGATATTTCTATCTCTGTTCCTTTCTTTCTCCCCCCCCCCTCTCTCTCTCTTTATTTCGCTGCCTCAGACTGTCACTATCTCTGTTTGTCTGTCTGTACACACGCACACGCACACACACACACATATATAGAGATATGTAGATATATATCTATATGCACATATATGTGCATGCATGTGTATATACAATAAAAATATTAATGCATTTATGTATATAATTATACATGTTTATATTTATATATATATATATATATGTGTGTGTGTGTGTGTGTGGTGTGTGTGTGTGTGTGTGTGTGTGTGTGTGTGTGTGTGTGAGTGTGTGTGTGTGGTGTGTGTGTGTGTGTGTATACGTGCGTGTGTGTGTGTGTGTGTGTGTGTATGTGTGTGTGTATGTATGAAGTGGACCTGACACCACATTTCAAAAAGTAACAAGCAATTCAAAGCACTTCATAATTGCTTTTAATGCCTTTCGAAACTGACGTTCAACTTTCAAGTAAGAGAGAAAAAAAAGGTGAATGAAAAGGCTTGAAAGTATAATGTACTTAGCCTGACACAGTTCTAAAACTTCCGACCGAACTTATATCCAAGAACTGACCTGTCTCATTGTGATTCGGTTCATGCGGGAAAATTTACGATTGTACAATTAATTTTCGTCTCTCGGATTTTGATTTGAATTCTATCGACCTTTGGATTAATGTTATAGGTTAGGAAATTACGATATGTAGCTAGACTTGGTAAGAAGAAAAAAAAATCTAAGTAGGCCGTTATCTTTTTTTTCTTTCGCTTTTACTTCCGTGAAAAATTACTGGTATTTGTAATGTAGTAATTTGGGCTTGGCAACAACCTGCGTTCTAAAAATATCCTCTAGGCAAAATACACGATATTTTCGAGTCATGGAGAAGAGATGAAAGGAGAAGAGAAAGAGGAATTCTTCGAAATCGAAATAGAAAGTGTTGATAGATTCTTTACGACGAAGTGAAAAAAACACAAAGTATTATAAAACTAATAATAAAAAATAAAGTGAACATTAAAGGAAAACGATAGCACATTCAATGACATCAATTAGTCGTTGAAATTACGAGCCACCGCAACTAATTTTACAACCAAAAGGTGATTTAAACAACGCCTCACTCAAGAAGAACCCACCCCAAACCGGCTACACAGAGAGACATCAAGAGGAAGACCTCCATGCATTATGTCGACGTCATGCAGTCAGTCTCCCTTAGTCACAAAAGCGAAAAGATGTCGACAAGAGCATGAAGGGAAAGCCTTGTCATCATTTCGCTGTGTGTGTCTGGATGATTCACACATTTTCTGTTGACAGCGGTGGCCTAGTTTTGTTTACATCCTATATACGTTCGCATATGGCATCATCCGCGCATGCGATAGGGTGATCCGTGCATGCGGTGCGGTTAATGGGTACACGCAGATATTCTAAATAATCCCAGACCTGTTTTTATTGGTTTCCTCGCTTTCTGTTGACGGTAAAACACCTTTGAAGTACACATAGTGAAGCAACGCACGGTCTAAAGTTAGATGGAGCGAGAGTGAAAAGCACAGGGGAGTTGGCTGCAATTTCACCAGGATTTATCACTGAATTAGCAAGAAATGTTAATGGGGGACTCGCCTTCATGGAACGTCTGTCAGAGAGGGAGGTGATGGTGCTTCAACATTTCGATATTTTCTCTGTTTTATATCTTTTTCTTATCTTTCAAATCTGCGTTGCATCGTGTTAATATTATTCCTGGATATTGCTAAGGTTTATGTTCAAGAAGCAGACATTTACTGTCAGTTATCGACGTCACTTGTATCACAATAAGCATCACCATTATTGCTCTTACAATAATGGTGATGAGAGTAATAGTGATAATAGTTATAGCAATAATGATACTAACAAGAACAACAAAACAGCAACAATGATAATTATTATCATTATTGTCCTTATCATTACCATTATATTACCGTTATTCATTATTATTATCATTATTGTTATATCTTTTATTATTACTACTATGGCTATTATGTATACATTATTACTGTACTGATATTATTGATATAATTACAAATATCATTATTATTCAGTGTGTTACTCATTAAAGATACTTATTCACTTACACGTTCACACACATACACGTACAGTCGTACACGCAGTTAGAACCCCTCCTCCGCTTCTCCACACACACACACACACACACACGAAACACACACACATACACACACACACATACACAGGGACTATAGACACACACACTCATAAACACACACATTCATAAACACACACACACACAGGGACTATAGACACACACACTCATAAACACACATTCACAAACACAAACACACACAGGGACTATAGACACACACACTCATAAACACACACACACACAAACATTCCCTCCAAACACATACTGCTACCCCCCCCCCCCATCCCTCCTTTCCCCCGCCACTCGCCCGCCCCCTACCCCCTCCTCCTCGCAAGCACCCTCTCAGCACCTCACCTCCTTCCTCTCCTCCCCCAGGAACCGACGGACGGCGGCTGGGCAGCGGAGGCCTCACGCGCAATGAGGACGTGCTCTTCTCGTCACGGCAGGGCGGCTTCCCCAAGTTCCCGATGCCGGATTACGCGCCGGATTTCAGCTGCGGCCTTCGGAAGACGCCCAAGATAGTGGGTGGGAGCGTGTCTTCGTACGGGATCCATCCGTGCAGGTGAGGCTTGGGTGGGTGGGGTGGGGAGGGGTGGGGAGGGGTGGGAGGGGAGGGAGGAGGGAGGGCAAGGGGTTCGCGTGTGTTTGTGTGTGTGGATATGTTGTGTGGTGGTGCTGTGTGTTGTGCGTGTGTTTGTGCTTGTGTGTGTGTGTGTGTGTGTGTGTGTGTTTGTGTGTGTGTGTGTGTGTGTGTGTGTGTGTGAGTGTGTTTGTGTGTGTGCGAACATCCGTGTGTGTGTGCATGTGTGTTTAGCAATTAACTTTGTATACATGGTACTACTACTATTATTACTACTATCACTACTGTTACTACTATTATTACTACTACTACTGTTGCTACTATAGTTACTACTATCACTACTATTACTACAATTGTTACTACTATCACTACTATTACTACTATTGTTACTACTATCACTACTATTACTACTATTGTTACTACTATCACTACTACTACTACAATTGTTACTACTATCACTACTATTACTACTATAGTTACAACTATCACTACTATTACTACTATAGTTACTACTATCACTACTACTACCACTACAACTATTATGAATGTAGTAGTAGTAGCAGTCGTAGTCGTAGTAGTAGTCGTAGTCGTAGTAGTATCAGTCGCAGTAGCCTAACCCGCCCACCTCCCTCCAGGCCGAGATCGAAGTCTACAAACGGGGCGACGGTTTCGTGCACCACTGCGGCGGCGCCATCATCTCCCCGCTGCACGTGCTGACCGCCGCCCACTGCTTCCAGAACCATCGGCTCTCCATGGCTGACTATCGCGTCAAGGTGGGTTTTGGCTGTCTTTTTGTTATCATTATTGTTATTATTATTGTTGTTATTGTTGTTGTTATTATTATTATTATTATTGTTATTATTATTATTATTATTATTATTATTATTATGATTGTTATTATTATTGTTATTGTTGTTGTTGTTGTTATTATTATTATTATTGTTATTATTATTATTATTATTATTTTTATTATTATTATTGTTATTATTGTTAATACTATCATTATTATTATTATTATTATTATTATTATTATCATTATTATTATTATTGTTATTATTATTATTACTATTATTATTATTATTATTATTATTATTATTATTATTATTATTATTATTATCATTATTGTTGTTGTTGCTGTTGTTTTTATTATTCTGTTGTATATAGATAGGTAGAAAGATTTATTTTTTTATTTTTTTTTTTTGTTGATAAAACTCGATGCATTCCTGTTTGTTTGTTTGGTAATGATTAGTATCAAGAGTGAGTGTCAAGGAAAGAAGGAACTAAATTATTAGTTAACACATTCTAGATCATCCGCTTTGCTTCAAAAAAGTAAATAAAAAGTATATTTGTATGTGCACACGTAAACGCCCGCGCACACGCACACACACACACACACACATAAACACACACACACACACAATTTTCAGCAAGCGCCTTATAAACACGAAATATAAATATATTTAATCCCCTACACTATAAACACAAAAATATACTTTTCTTCCTCTTACTGCATTTTATTTTCGCATTTCCAAACATTTACTCATAATTTCATCCCAATATTTCATCATCAATTCATCACATATTTTTTTTATTATCACATCCATTCATCACACCATCAATTCATCACATCAATTTTTTTATATATTACATCAATTCATCACATCAATTTTTTTTTTAATTATTACATCAATTCATCACATATTTTTTTATTATTACATCAATTCATCACAACATTTTTTTATATATTACATCAATTCATCACACCATCAATTCATCACATCATTTTTTTATTATTACATCAATTCATCACACCATCTTTCTTTTCTTTCTTTAAGGTTGGTGACTACGACCTCGAGCGCCAGGACGAAGATGAACAGATGTTTGAGATTGACACGTGGCGAATCCATCACAATTTTAAGCAAGGTGAAGATTATTTGCTATTATTACTCTTTATTTATTTATTTATTTATTTTTTTTTTGTATGGGAAGCGAGGAAGAGAAGGGAAACGGATGGGAAAGAGAAGGGAGAAGGATGGAGTTCGTGTGTAGGTAATATGGGTTGGAAGGAACGGGAATTGGAGGAGGAGGAGGATGAGGAAAAGAGGGAGGAGGAAGAGGAGAGGGAGGAAGGAGAGGGAGGAAGGAGAGAAAAAGGAGGGAGAGGAGGAGGAGGAGGAGGAGGAGAAAAAAGGAGGGGGGAGGAGGAAATGGATGATGATGATGAAAAGGAGGAGGAAGAGAGGGAGGAAGAGGAGGAGAAGGAAAAGGAGGAGGAGGAGAGGGAGGAAGGAGAAT